TAGGCGAGGGGTCCGCGGAGAGGGGGGAAGGGGACCGCGTCCTAACCGATAGGCAAGGGACCCGCTAACCTAACCTAACCGGTAGGCGAGGGACCCGCGGAGAGGGGGAGGGGGACCCGCGGCGAAACCGATAGGCGAGGGACCCGCGGGGAAGAGGGAACGCGAAGGTACGATGCCGCGAGGAGGCGTGGGAGAAGAATAGCGCGAGGCGTCCATATGAGCGTAAGACAAGGATAGCGTTTGCATGCACGTTGGAGAGAGATGGCGCGAGGCATCCATATGAGCGTAAGACAAGGATAGCGTTTGCATGCACGTTGGAGAGAGATGGCGCGAGGCATCCATATGAGCGTAAGACAAGGATAGCGTTTGCATGCACGTTGGAGAGAGATGGCGCGAGGCATCCATATGAGCGTAAGACAAGGATAGCGTTTGCATGCACGTTGGAGAGAGATGGTGCGAGGCATGCACTTGGGAGAGGGATAGCGCGAAGCGTGCACTTAGGAGAGAGAGAGATAGCGCGAAGCATGCACGTGGATGATACGGCGTTCGTAAGGCGGTGCGAGAAGGATAGCGCGAGACATGCACGCGCGTAGGAGAAGGATAGCGTCCGCATTGGCGTGGGAAAAGGATGACGTTCGCGGGAGAAAGAGAGAGGAAAGCTCTCGACATAAGCTACAAGAATATACAATAAAAAATAGGGGATTCCATTTAAGAAATTAAAGGTGTCCTTGACGTGACCTTAACGATGCCATCCAAGGTCAAACCAATGACACCATCTTATGTTCCCCTCAAAACCATACAATTTTTGTTTAAGACGTTTTTCTCTAAAATGCTTAGTTTTTGAAAGAAAAGGGGTGTTAGGGTAGTCTAGGACACCCTGTATACATACATTTGTATATACATAGTATATATACATATATATATATTATACATACGTATATACATACATACATAAACATATATACATCGTCATATGCACGCGCGCACATATACATAAACACATACGTGCGTGTATGTGTATGTTGTATAATTTACAATTCAACTTGTGTTTTTATAAATAAATTTTCAAAGAAACTGTGTATATTTCTGTGTGTAACTTATGTATTTTTCGATTTCACTGATTCAATTTTTGAAGACTGACAAATATTTACCTTCGTCCATTCGTCAATTGTCGATTGCATGCGATGAAGTAGTTTATAAAAGAATTTGACTTCGTCCTCGATGACTTTTATAAAAGCCGATCCTCGCATTGCCTGTATTTTAACTATGTGCTCCTCTAACAGCATCAGTATATCATCCAACTGTGTTAAAATCGAAACATGTGTGTCTTTGTATGGCACAGTAATAAAAAACATGCTTTCCCAATCGCTTATCATTTTCGTAAGTGATTGCTCGTGCGCTAATTCCCTTGTCGCGCCGCTACTGATTATCTCATATCTGCAAAATATTATTATTTTTCTTAATTATCTTAAATTTTCAATCTTTAACGATTTAAATTTACTTCAATAAATAAGTCAATACCTAAATTTTACTTTGATCCATAATTATTATATAATATAATTATTTTATATAAAGATTATATAATATAATTATTATTATTTTTCTTAAATTTTCAATCTTTAACGATTTAAATTTACTTCAATAAATAAGTCAATACCTAAATTTTACTTTGATCCATAATTTCCATAATTA